ACTCCCACCCTCGCCCTCGCCCTCACCCTCACCCTCGCTCGCCTCCACTGCTCCCCATCCCCCAGAGGATCGAATTCAAGATCCTCATCCTCACCTACAAGGCCATTCACGGCCTCGCTCCCTCCTACCTCTCCGACCTACTATCCCCCTACCTACCTGCCCGTACCCTCCGTTCCTCTGGCTCTGGTCTGCTCCATATCCCCCGCCCCAACCGCCCTACCATCGGTGGCCGGGCCTTCAGCTTCTCCACCCCGAAGCTCTGGAACTCCATTCCCCAGTGCCTTCGCTGCTTCCTCCCTTTTTTCCTTCAAGGCCGGTCTCAAGATCTTTCTCTTTGACCGTGCCTTCAGCTCCCCTCTCGACTCTCTACCCCCTCCTTGCTCCCTCCCTTCCCTCCCCTCACCCTGACCATTTCCCCCTCCTCGCTCCCTCCCTTCCCTCCCTCACCCTGACCATTTCCCCCTCCTCGCTCCCTCCCTTCCCTCCCCTCACCCTGACCATTTCCCCCCTCCTCGCTCCCTCCCTTCCCTCCCTCACCCTGACCATTTCCCCCCTCCTCGCTCCCTCCCTTCCCTCCCCTCACCCTGACCATTTCCCCCCTCCTCGCTCCCTCCCTTCCTCCCCTCACCCTGACCATTTGCCCCCTCCTTGCTCCCTCCCTTCCCTCCCCTCACCCTGACCATTTGCCCCCTGCTCGGGTCCCGACCCAACTGTCCAGCGCCTTGGGACGTCCTCCGGATGTGAAAGGTGCTCTGTATATGCAATTTTGTTGTTGTCATTGCTTCCCAGCTTTGCTATTTCCTCTCACTCCCTCCATCAGTCCCTCCAATCGGGTTTCCGTCCCCACAGCACGGAAGCTGTTCTGGTCAAGGTCACAAACGACATCCTGACCATGTGTAACCCGGGCTCCCTCTGTCTCCTCGTCCTCCTCGACCTCTCCGACGCCTTTGACACCGTGGACCACTCAATCCTCCTCCACCGCCTCTCCTCCCACCTCAACCTTCAAGGTTCTGTCTTGACTGGTTCAGGTTCTACCTTTCACACCGCCTCCAGTTTGTCGCAGCAAACGGCTTCTCCTCCAGCCCCCGCACCTTGTCGTGCGGTGTTCCTCAGGGCTCTGTCCTCGGTCCCCTCCTCTTCACCCTTTACATGCTCCCTCTTAGTGACATCATCCACAGACATGGGTAAATTTCCACCCAACTCTACCTCTCTGCCTCCACCCTGAACTCCAGGGCTACTGGAGTCCTGAATGACTGCCTCTCCGACATCAAGTCCTGGACGAGGGACAACTTTCTCTAACTCAACGTCAGCAAGACCGAGGCCCTCTTGATTGGCTCGCGCCAGCGCCTCCGCACCTCAGGCGCTGGATGCATCAGCCTCACTAAGCCGGTCAGGAACCTGGGGGTCTTGTTTGACCCTGAACTCCTTTCTCCCCCACATCCGCACCATGACTGGCACTGCCTACCACCACCTCCGCCACATTGCCAGACTCCGCCACTGCCTCACCCCTCAGCCCCCAAACCCCCACCCACACCTTCGTCACCTCAAGGCTCGATTACAGGAACTCCCTCCTCATTGGCTTCACAACTCTTCCCTTCACAAACTGCAGATCATCCAAACCTCTGCAGCTCATGTACTCTCACGCACCAGTGACCCCATCACTCCCACCCTCGCCCGACCCCATCACTCCCACCCTCGCCCGACCCCATCACTCCCACCCTCGCCCGACCCTATCACTCCCACCCTCGCCCGACTCCACTGGCTTCCCACAGTTCAAGATCCTCGTCCTCACCTTTAAGGCCATCCATGGCATTGCCCCCTCCCACCTCTCTGACCTCCTGACTCCCTACCAACCTGCCCACTCCCTCCGTTCAGCTCCGGCTGCTCCATGTCTCCCGCCCGACCCCACCCTACCATCGGTGGCCGGACTTTCAGCCTCTCTGCCCCCACACTCCAGAACTCCATCCCATGGTCCCTTGGCCTCGCTTCCTCCCTCACCTCCTTCAAGGCCGGTCTCAAGACCCTTCTCTTCGACCGTGTCTTTGGTCTCCCTCCCACCTCTCTGCCTTCCCTCCCCCCTACCCCACCCCTCCCGCCTACCCCACCCCTCCCCAATGCTCGGGCCCTGACACCTCACTGTTCAGCACTTTGGGACGTCCTCCTGACATGAAAGGGCTCTATAAATGTCATTTTATTGTTGTTTGCACAGGTTTTGAAAGCCTTGAGAGTGGAAAGTATCAGGTGCAGGTTGGCAAGAGTCAAGGTTTGGGAGACCCAGAGTGTATGTTGGTGTAACTGCTGGAGGTGACCCGTTAAAACACTAACATGTCTGGCAAATTTTCCGCTGCTCACCTGGTGTGTGAAAGGGAAATTAATGCAATTTGTGAAGTGAAGCAAACCATTCCCTGATGAACCAACAACAACAACAACCATCCAAACCCTGACACGCTTCAAATATTGAAAGTAATCTTTATTTAAACAAATTGAATTTTTAAATATTAAAAGTGGAAGGAATCACTGAGGTTGGTTGGGGGTCAAAGGCTGTAGCCTAAATAACCTGAAGGGTATGTGCTCCCTGGGGGAAGATGAGCACCAGTAAACACAGAGAGGGGGAGAACACATTGAAATGTCATGACGGGGCAGGAGGGAGGGGGAGGTGGGGGCTGTGGTGTGTTTGAAGGCCCAAAACCCAAGAGGACAGGAAAAGTGGGAAAAGAGTATTGAAGACGGACAGGCCGCACGCTGAGGTTGACAACATTCCACATGTGCAGTTCTAAAGGATTTGAGCGATCGAGACTGTGAGATGCAGTGGGTGGTCACACAGCGGAGGCCACTTTTTCACCCCTGTTCTGGAGACGAACCCACATTGACTGGTGGCACTGTGACAGAGGAGGTGTTAAGCACAAGCTCATCCTCACAGGGCACGTCACTGGCTACGGGCTCAGTGTAGGTGCAAAACCAGGCTCTTTAATCAGCAGATTGAAGTTAAAGTGCGCCTTTGTGGTGGAGCGGAGTCACGGTGTGAGCACACAGGCCCTGGACTGGCGCGGATGGAGCCCAGCGACGGGTGGGGAGCTCTGAGACAGCAGTGAAACAAGGAAGATATCTGACAGATGCCACCATGTGGTCAACGTGTCGTGAGATGTGTCGGTAAGTTTAAGTGCCTTCAATCAACAGTCTATTTAACATGGGGGGGGGTGGGGGGGGGGAGAGATAATAAGGCTTGTGAGGGGGAGAGTGAGGGGGATTGCGAGGTGGATATGCATGTGGGGGGAAATGTGAGGGCGGAGTGCGCGTACGGGGGGGAAGGTGAGAGGGGAGTTCGTGTACGGGGGGAATGTGAGAGGGGAGTGCGCGTACGGGGGGGGGGATTAGTGAGAGGAGAGTGCGCGTATGGGGGGGGGATTAGTGAGAGGGGAGTGCGCATACGTGGGGCGATTGTGAGAGGGGAGTGCGCGTATGGGGGGGGGGATTGTAAGAGGGGAGTGCGCGTACGGGGGGGGAATGTGAGGGGGGAGAGCGCGTACGGGGGGGAATGTGAGAGGGGAGTGCGCGTACGGGGGGGAATGTGAGAGGGGGAGTGCGCGTACGGGGGGGGATTAGTGAGAGGGGAGTGCGCGTACGGGGGGGGGTTTAGTGAGAGGGGAGTGCGCGTACGGGGGGAGGGATTAGTGAGAGGGGAGTACGCATACGGGGGGAGGATTGTGAAAGGGGAGTGCGCGTACGTGGGGAGATTGTGAGAGGGGAGTGCGCGTATGGGGGGATTGTGAGAGGGGAATGCGCGTATGGGGGGGGATTGTGAGAGGGGAGTGTGCGTACAGGGGTGGGATTGTGAGAGGGGAGTGCGCGTATGGGGGGTGGGGGATTGTGAGAGGGGAGTGCGCATATAGGGGGGGGATTGTGAGAGGGGAGTGCGCGTATGGGGGGGGGGATTGTGAGAGGGGAGTGCGCGTATGGGGGGGGGATTGTGAGAGGGGAGTGCGCGTAAGGGGGGGGGATTGTGAGAGGGGAGTGCGCGTAAGGGGGGGGGGATTGTGAGAGGGGAGTGCGCGTATGTGGGGGGGGAATGTGAGAGGGGAGTGCGCATATAGGGGAGGATTGTGAGGGGAGTGCGCGTAAGGGGGGGAGGGATTGTGAGAGGGGAGTGCGCGTATGGGGGGGGGATTGTGAGAGGGGAGTGCGCGTATGGGGGGGGAATGTGAGAGGGAGTGCGCATATAGGGGAGGAATTGTGAGGGGAGTGCGCGTATGGGGGGGGATTGTGAGGGGAGTGCGTGTATGGGGGGGGATTGTGAGAGGAAAGTGCGCATATAGGGGAGGGATTGTGAGGGGAGTGCGCGTATGGGGGGGGATTGTGAGGGGAGTGCGCGTATGGGGGGGGGATTGTGAGAGGGGAATGCGCGTTTGGGGGGGATTGTGAGGGGAGTGCACATATGGGGGGGATTGTGAGAGGGGAGTGCGCGTATGGGGGGGATTGTGAGAGGGGAGGGCACGTATGGGGGTATGTGAGAGGGGAGAGTGCATATTAGGGGGGAATGCAAGAGGGGAGAGTGTGCGTATGGGGGGGGATGTGAGGGGGGAGCATGCGTATGGGGGGGATTGTGAAGGGGAGTGTGCGTACGGGGGGGATTGTGAGGGGGAGTGTGCATATGGGGGAATATGACGGGGGAGTGCACGTACAGGGGGGGAATGTGAGGGGGGACTGCGCGTATGGGGGATTTTGAGGGGTGAGAGTGCGTACAGGGGGAATGTGAGGGGGGAGTGCATGTACAGGGGGAGGGAGACGTACGAGTGTGCGTACAAGGGGGGAATGCAACAGGGGAGAGTGCATATGGGGGGGAATGTGAGGGGGGAGTGTGCGTATGGGGGGGATTATGAGGGGGTCGGTGCTTTCGGGGGGGCTGGAATGCAAGGGGGTAGTATCCGTATGGGGTGGGGGGGGGGGAACGTGAGGGTTAGTGCGCATACGGGGGGGAGGAATGCAAGGGGGGATCTGGTCAGGACTAGACTCTCCCCCCCCCCCAGCATGCGTCACTTAGCTACAGATTGCTAATCCCCCTCAGGTAATAGGTCCACGATATTGCCTCTCCTCCCCCCGCCGAGCGCGACGATGATACGATTAGCTTGGCTGGGACGGAAGACTTGGTGCCCATCACGGTGGCTTCGTAGCTGACGATGACAACCAGCACTTTCTTGGCACGAATGGTCTCGATCGGCTTGACCACAAAGAGGGGGTTGTCCACGTGGAAGGTGAAGGTGGTGCTCTGTGGGAAGACGTTCTTGAAGGGAATGGAGCTGGTGCCTCCTGCCCGCACCGGGAAGGGGCCCTGGGGTTTGGGTGGGAGGCACATGCCGAATAGCGGGATGTTGTACTCGCCTCCGTGTGGTGAGGAGATGTTCAGAGTGGCCCGGGCCTCGCCCAGCCGTGTGGGCTCAAAGAAGACGTCCAGGTTGATTTCTGTCCCAGCCTGGGACCCTGGGGCTGCGTTGATACTTTTGTCCACTTGAAACTCAGGGCTGTCGACCTAAGGAAGAAGCATCTCAGTCTGAGAGGTGGAGAGACACCAAGACCTGGGACACCTGAGTCTTAGCTTTATTGCCTTAAAATCAAAGATTGCGTTGAATTTTTACTAAATTCTTAACTTTAGTCCTGATTAATAAGCAAGCTATCCCCGGTTGCTCTACAGAACTGGCCTCGAAATTGAGGCTGAATTGAAGAATATTCCTAAATTCTGGTTGATTTCTATTTGAAGACACAATGGCTGTGAGGATTCTGCGGCCTCAGAAATCACAACAAACCTCAAGGCTGGTCAAATAAATCTGGAGGGGAATCTGGGATATATATCCCCCCTGTCCCATCCACCCCAACAATAGTTTTTGGCCACTCTGCCCCCAATCTCTGGAATTCCATCCGGAGGGGAAACTTTCCTCTTCCCCTCTTTTAAGCACATCTAAAACAATAGCTCTTCCTCTCCCACGCTTTCAGCCATCTTTTCCCTCACCACCTCCCTCGGCTCCCACCCTCGGGGCCAATCCAGCTCAGCAAATGCACTTTGGGACGTTGTCTCAAAGTGGAAGCCTATAATAATAATGCAACACAATACAAAATGACATTTGTATAGTGCCTTTCAGGTCGGGAGGACGTCCCAGGGCGCTGGATTAATAATAATAAAGTCGTTATATAAATGTAAACTGTAGAACTCTTAGAAGATTAATACTGTATTCTAAGCCTCCTGTTGTGAGACCTTGAACTCCCAACTCTCTGACCCAATGGCGAGAGCCTGAGCGACTATCTGAGCCAGACTGGCACCTGGTGAGAATCTCTGTGCTGATGGCAATTAATGCCACGAGGTGCCAGGTTTAGGTAAAGCTTTCACAATTGCTTGCTTGGTGAACAGGAAGAATAGAAGAAAAAACAAAAGGCAAAGTACCACAGATGCTGGAAATCTGGTATAAACACAGAAGTAGCTGGGAACAGGCAACAAACAGCACATCAGGCAGCATCCATGGAGAGAGGGAAAATTAGCTAATGTTTCAGGTCAGTGACCTTTTGTCAGAACTGGGAGATGTTGGAAGGGAGCAGATTATAAGGACTATATTGGCTTTATTATATCTACCCAGCGACTTCTGTGTTTATACAAGAAGCAGAGAAGATGCCATTTAAAAGCAGGGCATTGAATGTCAGCCGGTGACATTCCCAGCTCGCTGTATAACACCAACCTTACAGGCGTACTCCAGCTTCTGTCGGGAGAAGTTCATGAATCTCGCAGTCAGGGTCTGATTGCTGCCCAGAGAGGCCAAGAAGTGCAGGGGCTTCTCGGGGGCGGCTGGCATGCCTTTCAGGATCAGGTCGTACTGGAAGACCCCCAGCTCGTTGCTGCTCAGGGTCAGGCGGCCGCTTGTCTCCCCCACTTTCAGAGGCTGGTACTCGAAGTTCAGCATGCCCTGCAGGGGAAAGAGAGCGAGAGGTTTGACCATCAGGTCAAATGGATTCACCAAACTGCTCAACTATCATAGGCGGAACCCACGGCAGCTAGAATCCAAGCTCTCAGACACAGTGTAGGTCACTTAATAATAATAATAATAATAATCCTTGCATTTGATATAGCGCTTTTCACGTCGGGAGGACGTCCCAAAGCGCTTCACAGAACACACTGTAAAGTGAATTGACTGTACATTTGTGGGCGAACGCGGCAGCCAATTGCGCACAGCAATGTCCCACAAACAAACTTGAGCATTAGGAGTGTTGAGCTAGGCATTTGTTTCATTGAATGTAGTGACCGTGTATTTTGTAAGCAAATGCGGCAGCCAGTTTGCACACAGCAACATCCCACACACAGCCATGAGTTAATGACTTGTGTGTGCAAGCTGCTGAGGGGTGTACAATGTTCCTCTATCCAGGATTTTATCAGTCCTCATATAACATTTTGTTTGTTCCATTTTTGCAGTGCTTTCTGCCCGTGGTGTCTATTGACTACCCAGCGCGCACTCTGGGCTCCCCAAGCCCTGGCTCTCACCAACCTGCCCTAATACTGCCCAGGATTAGGTGAGCAGTGCGTGTTCCTCTGGGGAGAGAGTGAGTATTCTGATCCACACACACAAGAAAAATATCCTTACGTGGAACTCTCAGTAATTTGGTTTGGAGATTTTAAAGCTTTTGTTTCTGCATGTGTCAGACACTCGTCTGACCCCCAAATGGATGAAGAAGACTCTTCGGCCCATCTGATCTCATCTCTCCAGAACACCCACACTACCATCCCCCCAGCAGAGCATCGAGCGGCTGTTTAAATGAGTCCCAGTCTCCTGGCCTCAACCCGCCCTTCCTGGTAACCCTGTTCCAGTCGTTAATTATCCACTGGGTAAAGAAACACTTCCTGGTGTCTGTCCTAAAATTGCCCTTCAACTTCTAAACCTGAGGTCTCTTGTTCTCCTGTCTTGATGTATCCTAAAGTTTTTCAAAACTCCTTAAAATGTTTTCTCATCTATGAGTCCCCTCTGTCTTGAGAGTCGTTTCCTCTCAACACTGAAGAGCCTGAGTTTGTCTGATCGTTGCTCACAGCTCATTCCTCCAACACCGGGATCAGCCTGGTTGCTCTCCTCTGCACTGTCTCTATGGCCTGAGCGGCCCCTGATGTCCCAGTGACCAGAGCTGTCTGCAGTATTGAAGGTGCGGCCTGACCAGGCACTGTACAGCCTGAGGGTCACGTACCTCTGCTTGCGGAGGGACTATCAGCTGTGAAGGCAGGTTGATATCTGGAGACTTGCAGTCAATGGTAAAGATAACGGGGACAAAGAGTGGGTTTTCCATCTTCACAGAGGCGTAGGTGCTCTGCCGTACTGGGGTCACCATCTCGATGGTGCTGATCACACTGGGAGGCGTGGCCTTGAAGTTGACGACGTAGCTAATGAACTCCTGCGTGCTTTCATTGCGGAACGTTACCTACACGGGAGAAAGCAGGCCCTGAGTCACAGAATTGAGTTGTTGGAATCGGGAACTAATTGCCTGAAAGGCTGGTGGAATCCAATTCAATAACAACTTTTAAGGGAGAAGTAGATAGATATTTCGGGAGGACAAGTTTCCAGGGCTATAGGGAGAGAGCGGGGGAGTGGGGTTGATCAGGGCTATGGGGAGAGAATGGGGGAGTGGGGTTGATCAGGGCTATGGGGAGAGAGCGGGGGAGTGGGGTTGATCAGGGCTATGGGGAGAGTGGGGGAGTGGAGTTGATCAGGGCTATGGGGGGAGAGTGGGGGAGTGGGGTTGATCAGGGCTATGGGGAGAGAGTGGGGTTGATCAGGGCTATGGGGAGAGCGCGGGGGAGTGGGGTTGATTTGAAAGCTCTTTTCAAAGAGCGGCACAAACACGATGGGCCGAATGGCCTCCTTCTGTGATGAAGTGTGCTATGATTCATTATACAGCACAGAAGGAGGCCATTTGGCCCATCGTGTTTGTGCCGCTCTCTAAAAAGAGCTTCCAAATCAACCCCACTCCCCCGCTCTCTCCCCATAGCCCTGCAAACGTGTCCTCTTCAAGTACCTGTCCAATTCCCCTTTGAAAGTTGCTATTGAATTTGTTTCCCCCCTTTCAGGCAGTGCATTTGAGTGCGCGAGACACGGAGGAGCGTGTGTGCGCGAGACACGGAGGAGCGTGTGTGCGCGAGACACGGAGGAGCGTGTGTGCGCGAGACACGGAGGAGCGTGTGTGCGCGAGACACGGAGGAGCGTGTGTGCGCGAGACACGGAGGAGCGTGTGTGCGCGAGACACGGAGGAGCGTGTGTGCGCGAGACAGTGCATGGATTTCTCAGTAAATGGGCGCTTTAAATGCCACCCACATCGCAGCCACATCCCACCCACATCCCACCCTTGCTCTGTCATCTCCTGCAAGCCCAACACCCCAAACGCTCCCTTTGCTCGGTGGGCACCTGCCTACTTCATGTCCCCCACCCTATTCTCCCCACCATTGCCAGCCTGGTTTCAGCCATTCCACCCACACTTTCTGGAAATCCATCCCGTGGTCGCTGTGACTCCCTCCCTCCCTTCCCTCTTTCAAGGCACGTTTCGAAGGAAACCTTTGACTTTCAGTCCCCGCCCCAGCCCTGAGCTCTCACCATCCAGCACTGCGAATGAGCCTTTGTCCCCATGTGACAGACGCTGTGTAAAGTGTATTACGCTGCTCCTGCTATTGCTGGATTTACACTGAAACTGAATTATTGCACTTTTCCAGCAACTTCCCAATTACCTGTGTTACACATCCTTCCATATCGTCAAAGACAGCCATCAGTAATGACTGTTAAGTGCAGTGACTGATTTTTAAAGAGAAACGTGGGATTTATTTTGAGCCGCAAAGAGCTGGACAGTAAATGACGGAATCTCATTCCCTTTTACAGGTTCCCAACCCAGTCTGCTCCAACACTCAACCCGGAAAACCATCCCACACCCTAACATGCCTTGAATGGCTTTATGTTATGTCAGTCTCGCGCACACACGCTCCTCCGTGTCTCGCGCACACACGCTCCTCCGTGTCTCGCGCACACACGCTCCTCCGTGTCTCGCGCACACACGCTCCTCCGTGTCTCGCGCACACACGCTCCTCCGTGTCTCGCGCACACACGCTCCTCCGTGTCTCGCGCACACACGCTCCTCCGTGTCTCGCGCACACACGCTCCTCCGTGTCTCGCGCACACACGCTCCTCCGTGTCTCGCGCACACACGCTCCTCCGTGTCTCGCGCACACACGCTCCTCCGTGTCTCGCGCACACACGCTCCTCCGTGTCTCGCGCACTCAATGTCTGTCTCTGGCTGCTTCTTGTGTAGCTGGGAGTGCAGCTCTCTCACCTTGACGGTAAAGATGCCCTCCCTGTAGGAGAAGAACACGAGTTTGTAATCCCGTTTGGATCCCCCGGGGACATCGATGTACTCCAGCCCCTTCACTGTGGCCATAATCTCCATTTTTTCGGGCTTCATCACCTCAATGATTGCTCGGAATCTGCCACATAAAGCAGTTGTCCATCTCAACCCGGGAATAAGAAACTGTGCCTTTCATACACGGCTGATAGAATCATATAATTATACAGCACAGAAGGAGGCCATTCGGCACATTGCGTCTGTGCTGGCTCTTCTAAATCAACCCCACTCCCCGCTCTCTCCCCATAGCCTTGATCAACCCCACTCCCCCGCTCTCTCCCCATAGCCCTGATCAACCCCACTCCCCCGCTCTCTCCCCATAGCCCTGATCAACCCCACTCCCCCGCTCTCTCCCCATAGCACTGATCAACCCCACTCCCCCACTCTCTCCCCAAATAATTATCTACTTCTCTCTTAAAAGTTCTTATCGTATCTGCCTTTCAGCAATGCATTCCAGATCCCAACAACTGATGGCTGTTAGGTGCAGTGACTGAGAATGTGTAGACAAGCGCAGCAGAGAATTTGGTCACAGCAACGTCCCACACAACAACAACAACATTGCATTTATAGAGGCCTTTCACATCGGGAGGACGTCCCAAAGCGCTGGACAGTTGGGTCGGGACCCGAGCAGTGGGGAAATGGTCAGGGTGAGGGGAGGAAAGGGAGGGAGCGAGGAGGGGGGGAATGGTCAGGGTGAGGGGAGGGAGGGGAGGAGTGAGGAGGGGTAGAGAGTCGAGAGGGGAGCTGAAGGCACGGTCAAAGAGAAAGGTTTTGAGACCGGCCTTGAAGGAGGAAAGGGAGGAGGCGGCGAAGGCACTGGGGGATAGAGTTCCAGAGCCTCGGGGCTGAGAGGCTGAAGGCCCGACCACCGATGGTAGGGCGGTTGGGGCGGGGGATGTGGAGCAGACCGGAGCCAGAGGAACGGAGGGTACGGGCAGGTAAGTAGGGGGATAGTAGGTCGGAGAGGTAGGAGGGAGCGAGGCCGTGAATGGCCTTGTAGGTGAGGATGAGGACACAGACACACGGTGAGAGATGATTAAGTTGAAGCATTGCAAGCCAAGCAGCACACCCTTGCCCTGCCTGCCGGCCCCAGCCCCACCCGCTCCAGCCCTGCACCCACCCACCCCACTCCCTCCTTGGTCCCGCCCAGCCCCACCTCCTCATCCCACCTACGCCCGTGCTGTACAGCTACCTACACCCAGAGCAGAGCAGGACTCACCGCTGTGGCTGCAGGAGCCAGTTGCTGATGGTGAGCAGCTCCACGTATGAGGTCTTACACGGCACCTCACGGCTGGCGACTGTAATTGGTTTAGGTGCCTCCGAGACACCGACTAGTGTGTACAGCAACGCTGTGCCGTCCGGCAGAGGGAAAAATATACTGCCCTGAGAGAGAGAGAGAGAGAGAGAGAGAGAGAATGTGAGAGAGAGCGGGATGGAGAGAAGTAAGAGAGAGAGGTAAGAGAGAGACAGAGGGAGTGAGTGTGAGAAAAAAGTGAATGATTGTGTGAGAGAGAGAGTAAGAGAGAGACAGAGGAAGTGAGCGAGAGTGAGAGAGAAGTGAATTAGTGTGTGTGAGAGAGAGAATGTGAGAGAGTGCGTGTGTGAGGGAGAAAGAGAAAGAGAGAAAGTGACAGATAAGAGTGTGAGAGAAAGACAGAGAGAGAATGAGTGAATAAGGGAGAGAGAGAGAGAGTGTGAGCTGCAATCACAGCACTAATGCCATGTCAGACAGACCCAGCTGCATTCTGATTCTGAGCAAACACGGCTTTTGCAGTAATAATAATAATACATTCATGTGTCACTCATGTAAAATAAGCCCCTCGAATGCTTCACAAAATAGAACTGATTAGAAATGAAGGGCATGCGATGACGTAGGCAAACATCTCAGCTCATCTGTGCCAGAGGATGTCCCGTAAATAGAGGGATAAGGAAGGCAACGTACATCGGGACACAGACTCTGGGTTGGTCTGGAATAGTGAAGTCAGAGCGGTCACCTGCCTGAAGTACACAGAGACGGGACCTGAGCAGCGGGGATGGTGATCGGGAGATCAATCAACAACAACTGGCAGGTACACAGCACCCCTCACGCAGGGTAGTGTCCCAGTGGCGGAGCACGACTCCGAGCCGGGGAGCGGGCAGTGGGAGGTGACCGTAGTCATGGTTGAATAGCAAGGTTTTCAGGCGCGATCTGAAGATGGGGAAGGAAGGGGCACGGCAGATGGATGGAGGGAGAGAGTTCCGGAGTTTCGGGGAGTAGCAATTGTTTGCTCTCATGATTACCTGGTGCTTTTTGCCCTCAAGCGTCATGCTGAGTGGTGAGTACGTGATTTCATAGGTCTGGTTCTTCTGTGGTTGGACAGTCACAGACTTGTGCCCAGTCCAGTGCTCCCCCTCAATCAGAGGCTGCAGGTTCCAGCACTGGTTGGTGCGGTTGGTCAGTAAGATCGAGTGGGTCTGTTTAGTCCGAACTTGGCAACTGAAATGGACAACCTGAACGTGACAATGAGATTGAGTCAGAATGAGATACAACAACCACCACAAGTTGCAGTGTAATTGGGGAGCGGGGCAGGTCAGTCAGTGGGATATTGTTTTGCTGGCTTGACGCGCATGAGCAGTGTTTTGTGGGGGTGGCAGTTAGTCAGCCTTGGCCATTGTTGCCGAGGGGGTGAGTGAGGGGACGGCCCTACCTCCTTCATGGCTGTCACAGCCACACATGATCCTGTCATGGTGAGATGCAGCAGGCCCATCCCCTCAATGTGGCAAGTGAAGCCTTCACAGCGAATGTCAGGGTCAATGTTGATGGGGTGGAACACAATCTCGAAGGACACGTTCATCCCGGGAGTGATGTAGCCCTCCGAGGGGATGATGGAGAAGTTCAGCTCACACTGAGAAATGTTCCAACGAAAGCTGCCGTGCAGAACCACAACAATACAGTACAAAATTACATTTCACATTGGGAGGATGTCCCAAGGCAGCGATCGTCAAGGATTTGGACCCAAGCTGGGGGTTGGGATCAGGGAGGGGTGGAAGGCAGGGAGGGTGGGGGTAGGAGGGTGGCCGAAGGCTCAGTCAAAGAGGAGGATCTTGAGATGTGCCTTGAAGGAGGTGAGGGAGGGAGCGAGGCCAAGGGACTGTGGGATGGAGTTCCGAAGAGTGGGGAAAAGTGAGGTTAGTGCAAAGGGGAAGAACATCTTTCAGTGAGGACTGACCCCCACCATTCTCAACTCGTCCACTTTATTGATCACTGATTTCATCCTTCCGGAACACATCCTTCATCCTCCCATTACAGTATCAAGCTTTAAATGTAGACAATGTCCTGCCTTCAACCAACCTCGCTCAATGAGCTTCCCTCGGAGATGTCTTGTTAAGGCTGAGAGGTCCAGGCTTCTGAGAGTTTATCTCCCTGATCAGCCTGATTGCTGTGCTCTGCCCTGACTCCTCGCCAGCTTCACAGGCTCCTCATCTCCCAGTGGATCTGCTTCAACATCCTTGCCCTCACCTTCAAATCCCTCCATGTTCCTGCCCATCTCTTTGAACCCCCTCCATCCCCACATTCCTCCCTCTGCCTCCTCACACACCCCCTCTCCCCATACCTCCTCACATCCCCGTCCGCACACCTCTGCCTCCTCAAACCTCGTCCATTCCCACTTGACCTCATTCCCCCACCCCCTACACCTCCTCTCTCTCCACATCCCATCCCCAGACTGCCACTTCCTCCCTTTACATCCCCTCCCCGCCATTCCACCCCAACCATCTCCATCTACCAAAAAACATCTCCTTCCCCACCGCTCTCCCCATACCCCTCCCCACCCCATACTGGGTACCTCGCTCCAATGTCTCCCGTGTTCACCATCATGATTTGCCGGGAGGCTTTGCTCCGAGCCACCACGGCCCCAAATGGGATGCACTCCTGGTCCAGGCTGATCTCGATGCCTTGGCAGCAACCTCGGATCACAAAGAGGGGCTGGGTGATGCCAACGCACTCCATGGCTATCTCCTCAGCAAACTGAGGGATCCGGCTCAACGGGGAGAAGGTCATCTCCACATCACAAGTGCCGCCTCTGGCTTTCAGCGTGACCTCACCGGCCGGCAAGATACTCATCACCTGGACGCAAGGGGAAATCCCTCATCAAATACACAACTACAACAACAAATGACATTTACACAGCACCTTTCATGTTGCGAGGACTTGCCAAGATGCTGGAAGGTCAGAGCTTTGGACCTGAGCTGAGGGGTTGGGATCGGGGAGGCTGAAGGGCGGGGGGGGATGGAGGGTGATCGAAGGCACAGTGAAAGAGGAGAGTCTTGAGATGGATCATGAAGGAGGCAGGGAGGGGGCGAGACAAAGGGACTGTGGGGTGGAGTTCCAGAGGGTGGGGCCAGAGAGGCTGAAGGCCTGAGCGCAGATGGTGGGGCGCCCTGGGCGGGCGATTATTTACACGTTTATTAAGCCCAGATCATCACTCCGCTGTCTGGCTGTTAGTTTCACATCCCTCTCTGTGTGATCACCTGCATGAAATTCCGTATCCCATCACCCCAGTCCCTGCCGGGCTCCACTGGCTGCCAATCACCGAACAGATCAATTTCAATATCCTCTCCCTTATTTTCTCCGCCACTGTCAAGCCACTTATCTTCTGCTAGTTACTTCCAGACCTTTGTGTGGTGAGAGGTGCTACTTAAACATAAGTCAATTTTTCTTCCCTAGCCAGCATACATCATACACGGAAAAACCTATAGCTTCTGAGAACTTTACTCAATGAGCCTGTCCAACCTCCCCTGGGGCTCTGAGGTTCTAAGTCCAGTCCCCACCAGGTTGGGCTGAGAGGTGAGATAATAACAACAATAATCCTTGCATTTGTTATAGCTCCTTATTACGTCTTCGAGACGTCTCAAAGCGCTTCACAGAATATACTGTAAAGTAAATTGATATGTTGTGGGTGAAATGCAGCAGCCAATTGCACACAGCTGCGTCCCACAAACAGTTGTGGATAATTGGACCAATTAAAACATTTTTTTTAAAAGGAATTATTACCTCTGGAAAAGTGATCCACTAATCAATTAACAACCGTTTTCTTACTGCTGGTAAACAGAGGTATGTGGAGTAAGGAAATTTGCCCAACGTTTCACCCTGCCTGTGAATCTAACCCAGGTCCTCTTGCTTGTGAGGCAAGTGCTCTAACCACTGAGTTACAGAACTGCACTTCAGATAATCGGCCACGGACGCATTGCTCACCTTGGGGTTGCGGAGAATGTGTTGATTGGGAGTCAGACTGAAGGAGAGGGTCACTGGGCTACAGCTCTTGTTCACAATAGGCACCACTTTGGTCACAGTCTGGCCAATCCGGAGAGCTCGGAAATTGATTACCTTGTGCTTGGGATGGACCACGTCAATCTGGGAGGTAGACAGAGTGTCACTGAGCCACCGCCTTGTTCAGTCAAAACCCACAAATTGCCCAGAGGAGAAACAGACAGTATACCTCATGTGTAAACCATGTGCAAACCTGTGTGCACAGAGGGCACACGAGTTCTTTTTTAAATTGTTGAGTGAGGTTAGGTCTGTTCACCCCCATTAACCAAATTGGATCAAAACGAGTTCCACTAGTTGTCCTCGCAGACAAGCCCCAATCTCCCCAAACTCTTCCACGCCCCAAATTGTCAAAGGACAATACGGACCTGAACCATGTCTAATGACCCCCTGAGCAGGTCAGGTGCAGCTCCTCTCAATTTTAGACCCTTCCCACAAACAGCCATGAAGTGAAGGACCAATTTTACTTGGGGATTGTTAGCCAGGACACTGGGAAAGAAAAACTCCCTTCCCTTTATGAATTAGTGCCATGTGATCTTTAACGTCCACTCGAACAGGCACAGATGGGACCTCGGTTTAACATCTCATCTAAAGGACAATATCTCTGATACTGCAGGGCTCACCCAGCACTGCACCGGAGACTGTAAGAACATCAAAACTTAAGAAGTTGCTGGTGAAAGAAGAATAAGATCCATCTAGTTCACCTTCCACCGTACTGGCAGTCGCTTGACATGTTGTGTCCCAAACTATACGCTTAATATGACTATGATGTCAGTTTGAGCCCACAATCGTCTGACCCAGAGTATGACCGAGGCTGGCACCTCTGATTGATTGACGAGCTGTTACAGGATTATGGCTACTGATGATATTGAAGATGGCTTACCTTCAACTCGATGCCCTCCCCAGAGATCTGAATGCCTTGTTTGGAGAGTCCATTGATCTCGAAGATGACCTCCTCGTGGTATTTGGCCTTGTCTCTGGGGTAGAAGGTGATAGGAATCTCCAGCCTCCCCCTGGGCTCCAAGAGACACAGCTGCAGCTGAACGTCCAGGTAGGCGGTGGTGGTGAACAGACTCTCCAAGCTTCAGTCAGACACAAAACCAGAAGGTTACTGCACCGGGCTGTACTGTCACGGGGTCAGACACAATCCTTGGGTTTGATACAACAACTATCCTGTAGCTCAGTGGTTAGAGCACTCGCTTTGGAAGCGAGAGACCTGAGTTCAATTCCAGGCAGAGGGCGAAACCTCGGGCAAGTTTCCTTACTCCACACAGAGCCTAATAATAATCCCTCCAAAACCAAAAACAATAATAAAATTGGTCATTTTCAATCTACGACTGTTTGTGGGACATTGCTGTGCGCAATTGGCTGCCGCGTTCGCCCACAAATTTACAGTCAATTCACTTTACAGTGTGTTCTGTGAAGCGCTTTGGGACGTCCTCCCGACGTGAAAAGCGCTATATCAAATGCAAGGATTATTATTATTATTATGGCCTCTCTCTCTGTCCTTGTTCTGATCTCACTGGGGTGAGGTTCCCCTGGTATCCCGTGGCTGTGTGTGAGTTTTGGCAGGCCACTCACCTGTAGAGTATAACAGCCAAGCCCATCTCTCCCCACCCAGCTGTGCATACATCAGGTGTGGGACCTGTATTTTTAACCACCCGAAGCTGGCTCCAAGGTGATATGCTTGGCAACAGAATGGTGGAATTGAGTCAACCCTCTATGGTGGACTCTGTAGCCCAGATTCTGAGCCAGGTGGGTCCGCTGTACTCCTAGGCGCTACTGATAGCACAGCCCAGTCTGGCTTATTGGCAGGATCTGGAGGGCTGGAGCAGGGAGCAGGAAATCCTTCCACTCAGCTCCTGCAACCAAAGCCCTAACGAATAGGGTAGTCCTAGCTGGACTTGCCACACAGTGTTATGTGGCTTCAGCTGGTTAATCTCTAGCGGTTACCCCAATGGGTAATTCCAACACTCTGGGGTTCCCAAGCCTAAGCAGGGTGTGTCCCAATGAGGAGAGAGGGTGCACATTCCATTGCTGGCATGGGGAGACTTGCTGGTGAACATGGAACTCTCAGTCTGGTTCTGAAGCTTGTTGCTGGGTTTCAAAGCTTGAAATACACAAACCAGGATAATGAACAGCTGCACTGTCTCCATGTGGCAAGACATATACTGCACCCTCCAGGGCCTGAGCTCCAGCACTGGGTAGACAGGGACCTTCAGTCATAGAATCATAGAATTATACAGCACAGAAGGAAGCCGTTAGGCCCATTGTGCCGCCCATGCCGGCTCTTTGAAAGAGCTATCTGCCAAATCGTCATTCTACTCCACGACAATCTTGGAGGCCAAGGACAACCCTAGGCTCCCCTTCTCCATCACCAACCGGCTCCTCCACCCACCCTCTCACACCTCGCCCATCCTCATCTCCAATACCAACTGCGAGGCAATGCTGGACTTCCTCGAATCCAAAGTCAAGGGGATCTGCACAGCTGCATCTTCCCTTCAGTCTGCTACCCCCTCCCCATCGCCCCTTCTCACCCCAGCCCCTACTCATCCCTCCCTCCACACCTTCGAACCTGTCTCCCACTCCTCTCTCACCACCTCTATAACCCGCATGAAACTGACCACCTGCTCCCTCGACCTCATCCTTCCTCCCAACTCCACCTCCTTGCCTTCATCACTCCTATCCTTAAAAAACCCTCCCTGGACCCATTCCTGCTCTCAAACTACTGCCCCATCTCCAACTTCTCTTTCCTATCCAAGGTCCTGAAACAAGTTATTGCTTCCCAGCTTTGTTCCTTCCTCTCCCACCACTCCCTTCACAACCCCTCCAATTGGGTTCCGTGCCACCCACAGCCCAGAGACAGCCCTGCACTTCGCTTGGGGAAACAGTAAACACGGTTATAACAACAATAATAATAATAATCTTTACATTTGATATACTGCTTTTCACGTTTTCTAGACGTCCCAAAGCGCTTCACAGAATATACTGTAAAGTGAATTGACCGTATATTTGTGGGCCAACGCGGCAGCCAATTGCGCACAGCAATGTCCCACAAACAGTCAGGGATTGAAAATTTATTATTGTTCTGTTTTGGAGGGATTATTATTAGGCTCTGTGTGGAGTAAGGAAACTTGCCCAAGGTTTCGCCCTCTGCCTGGAATTGAACTCAGGTCTCTTGTTTCCAAAGCGAGTGCTCTAACCACTGAGCTACAGTTATAAATTCCCCTTCAATATTCTTTGTGTGTGTGTGTGTGAGTGTGTGTGCCAGGCTCTCACACAGTCTCACTCTCACCTGATGTCTCTGTTCTCTCGGTTGGTGATGACCAGGGTGGTTTTGTATGAGTTCATGCCGGCGGTGTAGATAAAGCACAAGCCAAAGTCATATTTGGTGAAGGAGAAGTGAACACTGGGCGAGACGCCCTCCCCCATCAGCAGGCACATGTAAACTGGACCTCGGTGAATCTGAGGAGGGCAAAGAGCATCATCATTGCCGTGGTAACAAGCCAGCCGATGCCAGTCACCACTTCACTCTCACTTTCCGGCTCCAACCACTGCACTCCACAATGACAGTCGGTCATCGAAACAGTCGGAGACCGAGACAGTCGGACAGAATCGGCGAGACTCTAAATGGTACCTGGAGTATCAGCTTGACGTTCTGCAGCACACACTTTTTTATCGGGTGGAAGGCGATGGAGGAAGAGCTGGAGCCACCGATCTCGATGTTGCCGCTCTCCTGGGTGAGCTCCAGGCAGCCCTGAAACTCATTGGGGCACATCAGCTTCCACTGAAAATCCAGGTCATACTTGCTCTCGTTGCAGATGGAGAAGAAGTAGTTGTTGTGGTCCAACAGCTCCACCTGTGGCCAAAGGGCAGTATTGCAAGAATGAACTCCACACCAGCGAGACAAGTGGGTCCCGGCTCCCCACCACCCTCGCTACTGTTGGCTTGTCCCAAGCACCATGACACCTCACATTCCATGCCCTGTCATCGCACAAGATCGGTCTGGCTAAGGAAGCCCTTTGGCTCATGTAATCTCATCCTACAGTCCTCCAATCGCAGCATCGCCCACAAATATACAGTCAATTCACTTTACAGTATCTTCTGTGAAGCGCTTTGAGACATCCAGAAGATGTGAAAAGCGCTATATCAAATGCAACGATTATTATTATTATTATCAAGCTACTTTTTTAAGTGAGTCCCAGTGCCCTGGCCTCAGTCACCCTTCCTGGCAACCCTGTTCCAGTCATTAACTTCCTGGTGTCTGTCCTGAAATTGCCCTCTACACCTCTAAACCTGTGACCTCTTGCTCTCGTTGTGGGGCATCAGGAAGTGTTGACCTAAGTTTACTTTTTCTAATCACATTTAAAATGTTATACTCTTTTAAGGGAAGGGGGTGAGAGAGGGGAGAGTGAGAGAGATGGGTGGGAAATAGGGGGGGAAAAGAGAGACACCAGGTACAGAGAAGAGCTGAGCAGGGTGATGGGAGGGGGCAGCGGGAGGGGTGGTGAAAGCGTTAGTATTTAGACGGGTTTTGGAAGCCGTGAGGGAAGGAATGAGGAGGGCGGATGTGGGAGGAGAGTCCCAGAGTGCCGGGGAGAGGGTCTGAAAGTTGGTGGAAGGGATGCAGGGGCCAAGGGTGTGAGATGGCTGGAAATCGCAGATCTATGGGTGGGGGAGGCCATGGAGGGATTTAAAAGGATCATAATAATATTAATAATCCTTACGTTTGATATAGCGACTTCTCACTTCGTCAAGATGTCTCAAAGTGCTTCACCGGCTACACTGTAAAGTGCGGTGACTGTTTTGTGAGTGAAGATCTTAAAGTTAATCTATTGGGCAATGGGGAGCCAGTGGAGGGGGAGGGGATGGGGAGCCAGTGGAGGGGGAGATGGGGAGCCAGTGGAGGGGGAGATGGGGAGCCAGTGGAGGGGGAGATGGGGAGCCAGTGTAGTGGAGTGGGGGTGATGGGGTTATGAGTTGGCGGAGCCTGGTAAAGAGAGACTATGGGCTGTGAAGCTGCTGACATTGTGTTTGCCCTCTCAGTACTGACCTCTCCGAAGTTGATCTCGTTGACTGTGGTCATGCTGAGCTCCATGGTGGAACCATCAGTGGCCTCGCAATGAACGATGGCCGTCATGCTGTAACCCTCCACCTTCACGTTCATGGTCAATGGCAGCGTCTTCAGCAGCACATCGCAGATCAAGTTAAAGTTCACGTCTCCCTCGAAGATCGGAGTGAAAGAGAAGGTGATGGGGAGGCTGTGAGTGGATCAGAACATATCAGAAAGCGTGAGCAGTCCAGCTAGCCTTCATCATCATCATCAACATCAACAACACCACCACCACAGGAGCCCAGCTCAGACAGTGTCACTCTGGGAACAAATCACTCTGATACAAGCGCTCTGGGATGCCGCCCGGCGTGGAGGGCACTATATAAATGCAAGTTGTTGTTGTTGATATGAAGGGAGGTTATAACAGGAGTAGCTAGGGCAGGACTGGGTGTTACAGCATGCTGTTGTTGACAGCCCGGCTCACCACTCTTGCTCGTCTCGGAGCCTCAAGGTTGTGGGTTCAAACCCCAAGTCAGGACTGTGGGCTAACGCTCCAATGTAGTGCTGGGGGAGCACTGCATTGTCACAGGTGCCGCCCTTCAGATGAGTCGTTAAACCGAGGTCCCATCTGCCTGACCAGGTGAACGTTAAAGTGCTCGTGGTACTATTTGAAAACAGAATGGAGTTTCTCTCCCTCCTGGTTGTCCTGGCCAACAAGCCCCCAGACAAGATTGGTCACTCACTCTGCGGCTGTGTGTGGGACGTTGTTGTGTGAATCGGCTGCTGTGTTTGTGCGAGAGTCACTGCTGATTGCTGCACCAAACACAAGGCAGCTGGTGTGGCTGGGGCTCTAACCCAGACCTTGGAGGGTGGGGGGGCTAACCTGAAGCAGGGGTGGGGTGCTAATTTGGAGCAGAGGGATGGGGAGGGGAACTAACCTGGTTTGGGGGCGAGGCTGACCTGGAGTGGGGCTGGGGCTAACTGCAAGCAGGGATGGGGCTAACTGGGAGCGGGGGGGTAATCTGTTACGGGGGGCTTACCTGGTTTGTGGGGGCACCGTCCCCTGCATGGGCTCCACGGTGAGGGTGTTGGCGTAGCCCGTGGAGTGCAGCGAGCTCGCTCTGAAACAGAACTGGAAAGGGCTGACTTCATTGTTCACCATGTAGGCTGTCTCCTGGACTCGCTGACCTGCACATAGCGAGCGAAAGAGTGTGTGTGAGAGAGGGTGAGAGAGAGTATGTGAGTGAGTGAGTGAGTGTGTGTATGTGTGTGAGAGTGTGTGTAAGACACAGAAAGAGTGTGTGAGAATGTGTGGGAGGGTTGGAAGGAAATACAGAGAGAGAGTAAGTAAGAGGGGGAGAGAGAGGGAATGAGATAACAACTAGATTTGATAACAAGTTTTAAGAAAGAAATACATTATTTGGGGAGGACAAGTTTGTAGGGCTATGGGGAGAGCGTGGGGGAGTGGGGTTGATTTGGACAGCTCTTTTCATGGCTGATCTGTACCTCAAGTCCAATGACCCACCCTTGATGCCCTGACCTAACAAATATCTACCCACCTCAGTCTTGAAGATGTGAATGAAAAATGAGAAAGCTCATGATGTGAGAAACAGGAGTGAAAGCAGCAGTGATGGCTGGAGTGGTGGGTGTTGTTCACAGGAGCTGTGAGAAGTGAAGCCACAAGCTACCCACCTATCAGCACACACTTGAAGTTAATGTGGGAGCGGTCCAGAGACACGGCAGGCTCGCTGGTTTTGCCCACTAACAAAAAGGGCACGGTGAGGTGCTGCTCGGGGATGATGAAACTCCAGAAGGACTCTGTGATATCCAGCTTCTGAGGCGCAAACTCAAAGATGATCTCAAAGAAAAGCAAAATATAACAATAAACATCTCACAGTCTCAGAGCGCTTCACAGGATTCACTGTACAGTGCAGACATAGTTTACTTATTTTGCAGGGTCCTGTCTTAGGATCATAGAATATTACAGCACAGAAGGAGGCCATTCGGCCCATCGTGCCTGTGCTGGCTCTTTGGAAGAGCTGCCCAATCAGCCCCACTCCCCTGCTCTTGCCCCATATCTTTGCAAATTTTCCCTTTCCAAGTCTCTATCCAATTCCCTTTTGAAAGTTGTTATTGAATCGGTTCCCACCGACCCTTTCAGGTCGTGCGTTCCAGACCCTAACAACTCTCTGTGTAAAAACATTCTCCTCATCTCCCCTCTGGTTCTTTTGACAATTATCTTAAATCTATGTCCCCTGATTACTGACCCACCCGCCAGAGGAAACAGCTTCTCTCAAATATATCTTCAGTGGAGTCCTGTAGCTCAGTGGTTAGAGCACTCGCTTTGCAAGTGAGAGACCTGAGTTCAATTCCAGGCAGAGGGCGAAACCTTGGGCAAGTTTCCTTACTCCACACAGAGCCTAATAATAATCCCTCCAAAACCCAAAACAATAATAAATTGGTCATTTTCAATCCACGACTGTTTGTGGGACATTGCTGTGTGCAATTGGCTGCTGCGTTCGCCCACAAATATACAGTCAATTCACTTTACAGCATAGTCTGTGAAGGGCTTTGAGACGTCCAGAAGTCGTGAAAAGCGCTATACCAAATGCAAGGATTATTATTATTACTCTATCTATCTACCTCCGACAAAGCTCTATCTGAACATTCAATCACCCACAGGCCTGGCAGGTGGTCCTGCCTTCAACTGTCACCATCCACATCACGGACTATAGAATCATAATAATCCTTGCATCTCAAAAGCGCTTCACAGAACATACTGTAAAGTGGATTTATTCTATATTTTGTGGACGAAACATGGCAGCGATCCGCCAATCGACTAATAAGTGTACTCCTACTTACTGCTCAGAAGACAGAGACGTGTGGAGTAAGAAAACTTGCCCAATATTTCACCCAGCCTGGGAATGGAACCCAGGTCCTCTCGCTTGTGAGGCGAAGGCTCTAACCACTGAGTTATGACTATCAGAACTCACCTCTGAGCGGCTGCCTCCGGGGAGGTTGCCTCTCTCGGTGTGGCAGAAGAAGGAAGGGATGACCCGGGAATCCTGAGAGGTCTCAGCCACCCACTGGAAGGAATAGTCGAAATTTGTGGGGTTCATAATGACGAAGGACCTGGGAAGGACAAGATGGGATTCACTGTAAATCAGCCGGTGTCTGGCTTCACAAGGGCCAGATCACGTCTTATCCCTGTCAACAATAGCAACTTGCATTTACACAGTGCCCCTCACGCAGGGTAGCGTCCCAGAGCGCTTAACGGTGGCGCAGGACGACGCTGAGCTGGTCAGAGGGGGAGGTGACGGTAGGCATTTGAAAAGATGCCCTACCATCCCACTACAGTGGAGTCTCCACACTGGAGTGATGGACAGTTTACCTGGTGTTTTTGGTCATCACTCCCACAGCTGTAAACTCTATGACGCGAGTGTTGGGGTCCAGTGTGATGCCGGGCGGGGTCCCTCCTGGACCTTCTAGCTCGGGGTTGCGTCTGTTGCTGCTGATATAATCGGAGTCTTCAAGGTCAAAGTGGCAGTAGGGCAGCAGGCTGCGGCCTCTGATAGTCAGCACCGGGCACTCCCGGTCCCTCCGCAGGTTCGGGATGCTGGGATACAAGAGACACGTGAATCGATTAGAGTATAGTTCTCTGATCTCAGCAACTTGATTAGGTGACACTGCCCTCCAGGGGGAGGGGTGGGGGGGAGCGGGCAGGTGGGAAGATGAACAGGGTCTTCTTGGGGTTGATCTGGCTCCAAGGTGACATGTTTGGTAACGGAGTGTCAAAACCAAGCCCACCCTCTGTGCCAATCTCTAATCCGGTTCCTGAGCCAGGCGGGTCTGTAGTATTCCAGGGCACTCACTGCTGATAACTGCACAGCCTGGATGATCAGCAGGACTTGGGAGGGACAGACCAGTCACTGGGGCAGGGAATTGTCTCACTCAGCTCCTGTTAACCCTGCAAGCTAACCTACCTAACAGGCAGGGTGGTCCTAGCTGGACAAACAGCAGGAAGCTTGCCACAGTGCTCTCAATGGGAAACTATGGGGTATCAGCTGGTTAGGTGTTGCCAAGCCTTGGCTCTTGCGAATCTGGGCGTAATACCCAAAGGAATTAGATAAGCAGGGTGCACCCTTCTGGGAAGAGTGTGCGCATTCCATTCCAGGACATGGAAGCTTCCATGGTGGGATACTGGAGCCCAGCATGGTCCCTGGAGTGCGAGTGAAGCTGTGTGAGATGTTCTGACTGGCTGTCAATGCCAGGCTGATCCAGTTGCCTCTTCCTTCTGTGTGTCAGTGAGTATCTATCTGTGTGAGGGTTCCATGGGGTTACCTGAACAGGAGATGGGTCTCAAACTCCTTGACCTCAGTGGGAGAGAATTTGATGATAAATTTCTGCTCGGATTCGACAGGGATCACTCCGCACCAGGGCTCCACGGAGAAGGGGGCCGCATCACAGCTGCTGGACATGAGGGTCTCGGAAGACAAGCCTTGTTTGTCAGGGATTGAAATGGATTTCAGAATCCCTTGGAGTGCCGTGATGTTTGCTAACAAATTCTCTGCACCAGTCGCTGAAAAAGGAAACATGACTGACATTTACATTTAACTCCTGATACCAAGACCTTGGCTTAACTTGTGACTTCCACTTAAGTTGCCATGCTATCATATCCCAGCCATTCCCCATGCAAAATGTCAGTAAATTAATGCGAAGTGGACCGTTAGATCATCCATGGAAATAATCTAAATATTACAATGTAATAATAATAATAATTTGGTCACCCAACCCACGACAGTTTGTGGGACACTGCTGTGCACAATTGGCTGCCGCGTTTCGCCCACAAAATACACAGTCAATTCACTTTACAGTATATTCTGTGAAGCACTTTGAGACGTCTCGAAGACATGATAAGGCGCTGTATCAAATGCAAGGATTATTATTATTATTATAACTGTGTCCGCTTTACTTGTCACTCCACTTAACACGAACTGGTCACGATCTAGAAATTCTTGCAGGTACTTAATTCAGATCCTTGTCCTATAAGATGGCGTCTGGCATCGCAGAGGCCTCCCGCCCTATCCTGTCACTGATGCTCAGCGGAGGTTGTGGATGCTCAGATGCATCCCAGGAGCTTCTGGTTTATTGAGCGGTTGCGGCCTCCCTCCCCTCCTCCTCTCTATGAAAGGATAGGCCCTCGAATAGACCAGAGGCCTTTGTAATGCATCTGAGCGTGTGCACCCAACCTCGGACGAGCACCTGCACCAGTCACAGCGCCCCATGTGGCCCAGGAGGAGCTATGCCTAATTCGCTGCTCAAGATAACTAGTTGGGATTATGAGGTTTACAACGTCTCAGTCGGGAGGACGTCTCAAAGAGCTTGAAACCCGCTGGCTGAATTCTGGTGGTAGGAGCCAAGGGAGCAAAATTGCAGCCAAGAGACAGGTCTTGAGATGGACCTTTGACGAGGTGAGCGAGGGGCGAGTCGGAGGGCGTTCCAGAGTCGGGGGTGGAATGGCTGAAAGCCCGTCTGCGATAATCAATGCCAGAGGCCAGCCAATACCAGCCTTGTACTATCATCGCTCTGCTTCACATCACCATTCACTACCCTCACTGACCTAAGCTGTCCACCTTCCCTCCCTCACCCCTCTCCCAGCTCCATTTCCAACCCTGCCACCGTGAAAGACTCTGAGACGTTATCCAACATTGTAAAAATAAACGATGTCATCACTGAATTAAGTATACATGTGATACAGAACATTGAGTTTGACGTGAAACAAAAACCAGAAGTGGCTGGGTACCCGCAGCAGGTCAGGCAGCATCAATGGAGAGAAGGGATTTGACCCTTTCGGGTCCTTACATTCAAATCCCTTCTCTCCATAGATGCTGCCTGACCTGCTGAGTGTTCCCAGCGACTTCCGTTTCCATTTCAGATTTCCAGCTTCTGTAGTACTTTGCCCATGTCTCTGCTCACAGTCCAGGATGACACACCAGCGCTCCAATGTTGGAGACATGTCCTTCGGATGAGAAACAGAGTGGGAGAGGAGCCTCCAGCCCGCCCCTCTGATAGCCCCGCCTTCCCACAACCCCTCCCTTCCGGCACACTCCACCCTCCGTTCCGTTGCTAAACATGTGACCTTGGAGCCATCTCAGTTCCCACCCCCCCACCCACCAGGAGAATAGTCAGTTGACATCTAACAAGCGTGGGTTTGAGCCCTCACTAGGCAGGTACCAGGAACTTCCTGTGAGCTTCCTGTGGGCAACACAGCTCACGAAATGTGTGAGAGCATTGCCACCATCTTCCTGCCCACAGCTCGGGCACATGTCCCCTCCACCCTGAGAGATGGTTCCATCAGTGGCAGGTGCGGAGGTTGAGTGGTCACAGCTTACCTTCCGCGGGGGCTGCTCCCTCCGCCAGGGTATGTGTAGCTTTACTTGGCTCCTGTGGCAGGACCTGCCAGATGTACTCCAGCTTCCCAGGCCCCTTGTTGGAAATAGCCAAGCTGTGGAGGAGGAACGTGGGGTCAGGATGTTAGCTCACCATGTGGCTTCGCCATGTTATTGGCATAAATTATTGGCTGCCACGTTTCAGCCACAAAATATTCACTTTACAGTATATTCTGTGAAGTGCTTTGAGACGTGATAAGGCGCTATAACAAATGCAAGGATTATTATTATTATTACCTGCCGCGTTCATCTTCATATCTAATTAACAGCTGCAAAGCACCAGATGCTTCTTTTTATGTGAAAGATGCAATCTATAAATATCAGTGGTGGATGCGAACTGCTCTGTGTGGCTCAGTGCTGCTGTGTCAGCCTGGCTCTGTCACTGGCTCTGTCACTGGCTCTGTCACTGGCAGCCTGGCCTCCGGGTTAACCAGTTTGTGGGTTCAAGCTCTACATCAGGGGCTTTGAGCTCACAGTGTAGGCTGACACTGCAGTTCAGGACGGAGAGAGTGCTGCGTTGTCAAGAGTCGCCGGCTTTCAGATGGATGTTAAACCGAGTCCATGCCCGTGCAGGACTCCACAACCCCGTGGTACGACAATGGGGCATTAATGGGGCATTTACTCCTCCCACAGGCTGGGCTGTGCTGTCATCCCCTGGAGTACTGTGGACCCACCTGGCTCCGCAATCGGACTAGTGAGGGTGGGCTCGATTCTGACATTCCATTGCCAGCTCATCCCCAGAGAGTACTGGCGTTCCCCTCCCTCCGCTGGAATTTACACACAAATGCACAATCACTACACTTCATGGTGAATCCCAAGATTCTGATGATGTGAATAGGAGCTGCGATTATTATAACTCACTGATGGATGCGGGTCTGGAACAGGAGGGTGTCTTTGAAGCGGATGTTTTCGAAGCCCTCTTCATAGTCGCTGTAATCCACCATAGCGCTGAGCTTCAGCTCCAGCTGGCGGGTTGTGTGCTCCAGTGTCACATAGGCAGGCTCTGGGTCAATCTCCACCACCTGAATGGCAGAGTCAGTCACAGCTTCAGCCAGGGGCCTGAGTACAGGCTACAAGCGAGGGAAGGGGGAGAGACGCTCAGAGAGTGAGAACGAGAGGCAGAGAGTGAGAACGAGAGCGAGAGAGTGAGAATGAGAGGGAGAGGGAGAATGAGAGGGAGGGAGGGAGAATGAGAGGGAAGTAGCGAGAACGAGAGGGAGGGAGCGAGAACGAGAGGGAGGGAGCGAGAACGAGAGGGAGGGAGGGAGAACGAGAGGGAGGGAGGGAGAACGAGAGGGAGGGAGGGAGAACGAGAACTCACACTCCAGGCTGATACTCCAGTGCATTGCTGGAGGAGCTCTACATTGTCAGAGGTACATAGAAACAGGGGGAGGCCATTCAGCCCTTCTAGCCTGTTCCGCCATTCAATTACATCATGGCTGATCAGTACCTCAACTAATCCTTTCAATTTCCCACTTTTTGCCCATATCCCTTAACACCCCGACCTACCAAAAATCTATTAACCTCACTCTTGATGGTGTGGATGGATCCAACATCCTCGGCCTTTTGGGGGAGAGAATTCCAGATTTCCACCATTCTTTGAGTGAAAAAATGCATTCTTAAATGGCCTGGTTCTAATTTTAAGACTATGCCCTTTGTTTTGCATTCCCCCACCAGAGGAAATAGCTTCTCTGTATCTACCCTATCGAATCTCTATATCATCTTAAACACCTCAATCAAATCATCTTAAATCCTTTGGATGAGTCATAAAATCCCGTCTGCCTTTTGGTTTGGTTGAAGATCCCACGGCACTATTCAAAAGGAGGAGTGAGTTTTTCCTGGTGTCCTAGACATCAATTCCCCAAATAAAATAAGTCACTCACTCCATGGCTGTTTGTGAGACATTGCTGTGCACAAGTTGGCTGCCACATTTGCCTACAAAACCCACAGTCACTGCACTTTACTGTATAACCTGTGAAGCACTTTGAGACACTCTCCTGATGATATGAGATTCTCATTGCCTCAGAATCAGATAAGTTCACCTTTTTCTTGGCCGGCAATGTTCCTTTGGGGGCATCGATCCACTTGACCACTTGCAGCCGGTCGTCCCAGTCTGGCACCTGGTCGGCTGGCAGCTGGAAGCTCACCTTGACCACGTTGCACTTGCTGACGGAGCAGTTGAAGGTGACGGGCACCAGGGACCGGAAGGTAGCGGTGATGTCCTTGGCACACTCGGCGTGCAGGTGGCCAATCTGTACGTCCGAGGGAAAGAGCAAGAGACGGGCGGGCAGTGAGAAACCTGTCCATGTGAATCGGACCAGGTGGGGCGAGCGTGCTGTGTACGGCAGAGTGAGCAGTGCTGGACGGTGTTGAGGCTGATTTTAGGGGTGTGCCGGGCAGGCGATGTTGGGTGATGCCAGGCGGGCAGTGTTGGGGGTTTCTGCGTGAGCAATGCTGGGCATGTGGTACCTGCGGTGAGAAGCTGAGCTCCGGGATGTCTGGTAGCCATTCGAAGCGCACCACGTCAGACACGCTACGGTTAGTCATGGTGAAGGTGATGGTGTACGGCCAGCCCACGTTACAGTCTCCAAACTGCAGCAGGTCCGTGTGTATCGCTGGGGAGAGACACTCGCAATGGGACTCGCACTTCACCAGAGCGCAAGCAAAGTAACCGCCCTCTCTGTGGTCAGCTGGCGGTCTGACACATGGGGAAAACCATCACCGTGATCGGCCTGGTCTGATACACACCCAAACCCGTCACCACGCCTGAGCGTCTCCAAACCAGACTGGGAGGTCCATGTATGGCATCTACACATTGAGGTTCCCGTGACTGGAATGCAATGTGGACACTCTCCCTGAGGGACGACGCTGTTCACCTCATTCCAGAGGGTATTACATGCAGATTGTGTTTGTGTGTGTGAATGAGTATGTGAGTGTGAGTGGTGTGTGTGTATTGTATGTTTATGTGTGGGTGTGTGAGTGTATGTATGTGTGTGTGTGTGTGTCTGTGTGTGTATGTGTGTGTGTCTGTGTGTGTGTGTGTGTGTGTCTGTGTGTATGTGTGTGTGTGTATATCTGTGTGTGTGTGTGTGTGTCTGTGTGTATGTGTGTGTGTGTGTGTGTCTGTGTGTGTGTGTGTCTGTGTGTATGTGTGTGTGTGTGTATGTGTGTGTGTGTGTGTGTGTATGTGTGTATGTGTGTGTGTGTGTATGTGTGTGTGTGTGTGTGTGTGTATGTGTGTATGTGTGTGTGTGTATGTATGTGTGTGAGTGTGTGTGTGTGAGCACTGCTGACCTTCAGCCTCCTCCTCCTCCTCTGGTGCGGTGATGGAGGCGGTGTCCCCCCCGGACCCCAGGCCGTGGATGTTGTCGAGAGTGATGTCGTCCTCGTAGCCCTCTCCCACCAACTGGACCACTGTGTCCTCAAACTGGTTGTTGAGCACCGAGAGGTGCAGTGACCCCACGAGACGTCGGGGCAGTGACGGCCTGAAGGTCACCTCGAACTGCGCCCTCTCCCCAGTGCTGAGCCACACCAACAGCAGACAGGCGTCCCTCACTGTGGGCAACCGCAGTGCTCACACTCACCGGCTCACACTCACTCACACTCACTCACACTCACACACACTGTGGGCAACCGCAGCGCTCACCATCACCGGCTCACACTCACTCACTCACACACACTGTGGGCAACCGCAGCGCTCACCATCACCGACTCACACTCACACTCGCTCACACTGTGGGCAACCAGCAGGGCTCACCATCACCGGCTCACACTCGCTCACACTCACACACACTGTGGGCAACCGGCAGCGCTCACCATCACCGGCTCACACTCACTCACACTCACACACACTGTGGGCAACCGGCAACGCTCACCATCACCCCGGGCTTACACACTCACACTCACACTCACACACACTGTGGGCAACCGTCAGCGCTCACCATCACCCCGGGCTCGCTCGCTCGCTCGCTCACTCACCCACTCATCCACCCACCCACCCACTCACCCACCCACTCACTCAACCACCCACTCACTCACCCACGTACCCACTCACTCACTCAACCACCCACCCACTCACTCACTGACACACTCACCCACTTACCCACCCACTCACTCACCCTCTCACCAACTCACTCACTTACTCACCCACCCTCTCACTCATTCACTGACAAACGCACTCACTCACTCACCCACTTACCCTCTCACCCACTCACTTACCCTCTCACCCACTCACTCACCCTCTCATTCACTCATTCACTGACAAACGCACTCACTCACTCACTCACCCACTTACCCTCTCACCCACTCACTTACCCTCTCACCCACTCACTCACCCTCTCATTCACTCACCCTCTCATTCACTCACCCTCTCACTCACGCACCCTCTCACTCAACCTCTCACTCACCCTCTCATTCACTCACCCTCTCACTCACGCACCCTCTCACTCAACCTCTCACTCACCCTCTCACTCACTCACCCTCGCTCACTCACTCACCCTCTCACTCACTCACCCACTCACTCACTGACAAACTCTCTGACATGATCACCCACTCACTCACTCTCTTACCCTCTCACTCACTCACTCACTCACCCACCCTCTCACTCACTCATTCACTGACACACTCACTCACACACTCAACCCATACACTCACTCACACTTAAACATTTGCCTGCCCGACCACCCACTCAATCACCCAACCTCTTACTCACTCACTGACGCACTCACTCACTCACCCACCCAGTCACACACTCACTCACATACTTCCTGACCCACCCACTTACACACTCACTCACTCACATACTCATTCACTCACTGATACTCATCCACCAGGTCATCAGTGCAGGTCCTCTGCCCCTCAGCCCTGCCCACCACCAATCACTCCCCACAGCCCCCCCCCCACCCCTATCATTCCCCAGCCCCTACCCATCACCAATCAATCCTCCCCAGGCCCCCTGATTATTCCCCCAGCACCCCCACCCCCAATTACTGCCCCCAGCCTCATTGATCACTCCCCAGGCCCCCCCTCCACCATCACTCCCCCTCCAAGCCCTCATGATCAACCCCTCACCCAGGCTCACGTCCTGCTTCATGTTGATTTTCTCTTTGGGGAAGATGCAGGGTGTGATGATACAGGGATTCAGTGAAAAGGCGCCATTCACATCAGCCAGGTTAATGGTGACCTGTGAACAAAGCCGGTATCTACTGACCCACTAGACACTGAGCCCCTCAGTGTGTACCTGAGCAGCGTGTACCTGGCATTGTGTACCTGAGTGGGAGTGTGTACCTGGTTGTGTGTCCTGAGCGGCAGTGTGTACCTGGTTGTGTGTACCTGAGTAGCAGTGAGTACCTGGTTGTGTGTACCTAAGTGGCAGTGTGTGCCCGGTTGTGTGTAGCTGAGTGGTAGTGCGCACCTGGTTGTGTGTACCTGAGTGGTAATGTGTACCTGAGTGGCAGTGTGTACCTGGGTGGCAATACGTACCTGGTAGTGTGCACCTGAGTGGTAGTGTGTACCTGAGCGGCAGTGTGTACCTGGCTCTGTGTACCTGAGCAGCAGTGTGTACCTGGCTCTGTGTACTTGAGTGGCAGTGTTTACCTGGCTCTGTGTACCTGAGTGGCAGTGTGTACCTGAGCGGCAGTGTGTACCTGGCTCTGTGTACCTGAGTGGCAGTGTGTACCTGAGCGGCAGTGTGTACCTGGTAGTGTGTACCTGAATGGCAGTGTGTACTTGAGTGGCAGTGTGTACTTGAGTGGCAGTGTGTACCTGAGTGGCAGTGTGTACCTGAGCAGCAGTGTGTACCTGGTAGTGTGTACCTGAATGGCAGTGTGTACCTGAGTGGCAGTGTGTACCTGAGTGGCAGTGTGTACCTGAGTGGCAGTGTGTACCTGAGCGGGTAAGGAGCCCTCGTTGATGAGGGTAACGGGCAGCGTTTGTGCGATGCCCAGCAGTTGCCGGCTGTACAGCAGTAAGGCATGTCCTGCCTTGTCCCGCAGGCTCGGACGCTGGATCCTCACCCTCGGAAGGTTCCCGTCTCCCATAATGTCAAACACCAGGTTCTTGGATTTCAGATTGGAGCTGCAACAGGACACAGTGAGAGAGACAGTGAGAGAGAGAGACACTGTGAGAGAGACACTGAGAGAGAGACAGTGAGAGAGAGACACTGTGAGAGAGACAGTGACAGAGAGACACTGCGAGAGAGAGACACAGTGAGAGAGAGAGACACTGTGAGAGAGACACTGTGAGAGAGAGACACAGTGAGAGAGACAGTGAGACAGTGAGAGAGAGACACAGTGAGAGAGACACTGTGAGAGAGAGACACAGTGAGAGAGACAGTGAGACAGTGAGAGAGAGACACAGTGAGAGAGACACTGTGAGAGAGAGACACAGTGAGAGAGACAGTGAGACAGTGAGAGAGAGACACAGTGAGAGACACAGTGAGAGAGACAGTGAGAGAGAGAGAGAGACAGTGAGAGAGAGACACTGAGAGAGAGACAGTGAGAGACACAGTGAGAGACACAGTGAGAGAGAGACACTGAGAGAGAGAGACACTGAGAGAGAGACACTGAGAGAGAGACAGTGAGAGAGAGAGAGAGACACTGTGAGAGAGACACTGTGAGAGAGACAGTGAGAGAGAGACACTGAGAGAGAGACAGTGAGAGAGAGACACAGTGAGAGAGACACAGTGAGAGAGAGAGACACAGTGGGAGAGAGACACTGAGAGAGAGACACTGAGAGAGAGACAATGAGAGAGAGAGACACTGAGAGAGAGACAATGAGAGAGAGAGACACTGAGAGAGAGACAATGAGAGAGAGAGACACTGAGAGAGACACAGTGAGAGAGAGACACAGTGAGAGAGAGAGACAGTGAGAGAGAGACACAGTGAGAGAGAGACACAGTGAGAGAGAGACACAGTGAGAGAGAGACACAGTGAGAGAGACACAGTGAGAGAGACACAGTGAGAGAGAGACACAGTGAGAGAGAGACACAGTGAGAGAGAGAGACAGTGAGAGAGAGAGACAGTGAGAGAGAGACACAGTGAGAGAGAGACACAGTGAGAGACAAAGTGAGAGAGAGACACAGAGAGTGAGTTGCTGTGTGTGTGTCGCCGTGTGTGTGGGGGGGTTGTGGGTGGGGGTGTTGTGCTGTGTGTCGAGGGGTCAAGACATGGCTTTACCCGGACACGGAGTCCACCAATGCCTCAAATATACAATGATAGTTCTGCATTGTCTGAGGCGTGAAGCTGACAACTGCGAACATGTGGGCGTAGCTGGGGATGTTCATCCGTGTGGGCTCCACATCGAAGATATCAGTAATACGAGCAACCATCTGAGGACAGAGACAGGCAGGGATCAAAGGCCAGAAGGTGGGTGTGTACACACCAGAGGGTGTGCATGTGTGCACACACAAGGTGTGTGTGTACACCAGTGTGTGTGTGTACACCAGAGTGTGTGTGTGTGTACACCCGAGTGTGTGTACACCAGTGTGTGTGTGTGTACACCAGAGTGTGTGTGTACACTAGTGTGTGTGTGTGCACCAGAGTGTGTGTGTGTGTGTGTGTGTACACCAGAGTGTGTGTGTACACCAGTGTGTGTGTGTACACTAGTGTGAGTGTGTGCACCAGTGTGTGTGTGTGTGTGTACACCAGAGGGTGTGTGTACACCAGAGGCTGTTTCCCCTGGTTGCACGCTCCCCAGCTAGCGGAAACAGACTATATGTATGCACCAGGCTTCGGGACCACATCACTCCCACCCTCGCCCTCACCCTCACCCTCGCTCGCCTCCACTGGCTCCCCATCCCCCAGAGGATTGATTTCAAGATCCTCATCCTCACCTACAAGGCCATTCACGGCCTCGCTCCCTCCTACCTCTCCAACCTACTATCCCCCTACCTACCTGCCCGTACCCTCCGTTCCTCTGGCTCCAGTCTGCTCCACATCCCCCGCCCCAACCGCCCTACCATCGGTGGTCGGGCCTTCAGCCTCTCAGCCCCGAGGCTCTGAAACTCCATTCCCAGTGCCTTCGCCGCCTCCTCCCTTTCCTCCTTCAAGGCCGGTCTCAAAACCTTTCTCTTCAACCGTACCTTCAGCTCCCCTCTTGACTCTCTTCCCCCTCCTCGCTCCCTTCCCTCCCCTCCCCTCACCCTGACCATTTCCCCCTGCTCGGGTCATGACCCAACTGTGCAGCGCCTTGGGACGTCCTCCTGACGTGAAAGGCGCTTCATAAATGGAATCTTGTTGTTGTTGTTAACCGTATCAAACCCTCTTACCATTTTAAAAAATGATGAAATGTTATCATTTTAATTAAATCACCTCCTAAACGTCGTTCTCTAGTGGAAAAATGCCTAACCTACCCCAGACTGTCCTGACAGAGGTAACCTGCGGCCCTGGTACCATCCTGGTAAACACAGGGATGAGGTAACCAGAGTGCGTCCCTCGGGGAGAGAGCGTGTATTCCATTCCAGCCGCGGGAATGTCCACGTGTAGGTGGCAAACGTGGAATTCTGAGTCTCGCTTGAAGACTTAAGCAGAGGGTCAGACCCCGGCTCACCAGCACAAGGGTGAAACCGGTGTCTTACCGGTGACCTGCAGTCGTTACCGGTGTCACCGGATTGTTACAAGTTACTGGTGAGTGGGGGCTATTCCTGGTGAGCGGGGGCTATTCCTGGTGAGCGGGGGCTATTCCTGGTGAGCGGGGGCTATTCCTGGTGAGCGGGGGCTATTCCTGGTGAGCGGGGGCTATTCCTGGTGAGCGGGGGCTATTCCTGGTGAGCGGGGGCTATTCCTGGTGAGCGGGGGCTATTCCTGGTGAGCGGGGGCTATTCCTGGTGAGCGGGGGCTATTCCTGGTGAGCGGGGGCTATTCCTGGTGAGCGGGGGCTATTCCTGGTGAGCGGGGGCTATTCCTGGTGAGCGGGGGCTATTCCTGGTGAGCGGGGGCTATTCCTGGTGAGCGGGGGCTATTCCTGGTGAGCGGGGGCTATTCCTGGTGAGCGGGGGCTATTCCTGGTGAGCGGGGGCTATTCCTGGTGAGCGGGGGCTATTCCTGGTGAGCGGGGGCTATTCCTGGTGAGCGGGGGCTATTCCTGGTGAGCGGGGGCTATTCCTGGTGAGCGGGGGCTATTCCTGGTGAGCGGGGGCTATTCCTGGTGAGCGGGGGCTATTCCTGATGAGTGGTGGGGGGTGGTTACCTTGTTGGAGATGGGTTTGACAGAGATGGCGACGTCACAGGGCACTTTGCCAATGTTGATGATTTTGAATCGAGCCTCGGCTGTCTGCCCGACCAGCACGTTGTGAAAGAGGAACCTTTTCTCGTCCTCCACATAGATACCACCACTCTGCATGGTGTTCAGGAACTGGGACAGGTTGATGTTCTTACAGATGTGATGCTCTTCAAAGATGGACCCCACATCGTCCACAATGATGCCTGCATCACCAACACACGTGAACCCACATCACTCAAAGGTCCTCCCGAGGGGAAAGGCGTAAACATAAACTGTATTCTAACACGGGCTGTCCTGAAGAGACCCGCAGGACATGGCTAGTGAGCCAGGTGGGTCCGCAGTATCTCCAGGGCACTCACTGCTGATGACCGGCCTGGCTCATTGGCAGAACCTAGAAAGGCCAAGACCATGATGGTTGGAGCTCAAGCCTTTCATGTGACGGCGGTTTCTCTGTTAGCCGCTATCCTATTATCCTCACCGTTTTCCTAACCACAACAGGACCTGTCCTGATAAGTGTGGATACTGGGCTTTTGAGTGGACCTCTGTCAGGGCCCCTCCAGGTGTTGTGCCCTGGGACGTGGCTGTGGAGATGTGCTACAGTGTCTGAGGCACGCTGACTGACTGACTGACTGACAAGCCTCCTGAGATTATAGACACCCCCCCACCCATCCCCACAGTGAGTGTCGGCCACCGGCTCGGGCTGGCGTGATCCTACCAGGCAGACAGGCCTCCGTTACCAGCCGGTACGGAATTCCCCCGGGATTGTCGTTGGGATCTCGATCAGTGATGTCAATGTGCAGGATCTCCTCGCTCTTCCCCGACAGCTCCGCAAATACCTCCACGGTGATCACCTGCTGGGCTCCCGGCAGCACAATGCCAAAGGCCGGGAAGATGCTGAACACCCCGACCACAAAGCGAGCCTGGCAACAAATCACAGCCACATGGGGCTCACCACAGGCCTGGCCCAGGCCTCCAGCCCCGCCCTCCCCGCCCCGCCCCACCCTCACCGCCCCGCCCTCACCACCCCGCCCTCTCCGCCCCTCCCTCCCCCGCCCCACCCTCACCGTCCCACCCTGACCGTACCGCCCTGACCGTCCCGCCCTCACAGCCCCGCCCCACCCTCACCGTCCCGCCCTGACCGCCCCGCCCTCACAGCCCCGCCCTCTCCGCCCTCTCCGTCCCGCCCTCACCGTCCCGCCCTATCCGCCCCGCCCTATCCACCCCGCCCTATCCACCCCGCCCTGCCCTCACCACCCCGCCCCTCCCTTTTGCTGCATTGACACCTGCAGACGGTTGGCCCCTCCAGCAGCGCAGCCGCCAGTCACTGACTGTCAACCCACAAGCGGCTCCGCACTCACCTGGTTCATGAACGTTGTCTCCTTGTGTTTAGGTGCCCCGTTGGACTTTGCTGAGCTGGTGCCTTCTCGCCCCTTCCCTTGCTTGGTGCCAGCAGGTCTGCACCACAGGGACAGTTATAGGCAGCAAATTAAAGGCTGCCATGTTTGTTACATAGCACTCCGCGAAGGACAGCATCTTCAACAATGCAGCACTCTCACACCTACAGTCACACACACACACACAGTCACACAGCCCCACAGTATACACACACACACTGTGTCTCTCACACACTCATTCACACACTCAGTCACGCATAGCTCCATAGATACACACATAAACAGTCTCATACACACAGTCTTGCAAAGTCTAACAAACACACACAGTCTCATAACCACACTATTAGCGTGTTGGTGTCTGGGTGCTGACCTCTTTTGTTGTTGCATGGGCATGTCCCAGGCTGTTTTGAGGATGGTGTATTTGAACTCAAAGTCACAGTTATTCTCCAGGATGAAGGTGCGAGTGCGGCGATTTCCCACGAGCAGGGTCCCGAAGTTGACCTCCTTGGCGGGGGAGATGGTGTACAAGCAGAAGATGGAGCGTGCACTCAACTTTATCGGGATGTTGGCGATGACCTGTTCCCCTTTTGGCAATGAAGGCTCGATGACCTATGGGCAACACAAACACATTGCGTTATCAGGCTTGTCGCCTTGGAGAAGGTTCAGCTGCAAGGAGACCCCACTTACACCCCCCACCCACCCCCCACCCTCCTCAGGATAGTCACTAATTGATCATGTGACATCCGACCAGCGTGGGTTTGAGCCCTCTCACTCTGGTGGATGGCAGGTACCAGGAACTCGCTGTCACTTCCCAGTGAGCAACACGTCTCAGCATGAACTGCATGAGGGCATTGCCACCATCTTTCATTATATTTCACCCACAAAATAAACAGTCAATTCACATATATTTTGTGAAGTGCTTTGAACCTGTCACCCCCTCCTCTGTCTTCAACACGGTAACCTCCATGAAGTCCACCACCTGCACTCTCGACCCCATCCCCACCACTCTCCTTAAATCCCAGCTCCACCTCCTTGCCCCACTACTCGCTGACATTATTAGCCTCTCCCTGTCATCTGGCACTGTTCCATCTCCCCTCAAAACAGCCATTATCTCCCCACCTTGAAGAAACCTTCCCTCGACCCATCACAGCTATCCAGCTACCGGCCCATCTCAAACCTCCACTTCCTATCCAAGGTCCTTGAGAGAGTCGTTGCTTCCCAGCTTCGGCATTTCCTCTCATTCCCTCCATGAGTCCCTCCAATCGGGGGAGGAGCCAGGGCGTGAATGGGTTTGAACATTGAATGGATTGAGTGTGAGGACCTTGAAGTTGATCCATTCGGCTTTGGGGAGCCTGGGCCAGAACAGGTGAGATGTGGGTACGGAGTTAGGTCCGGGTCAGTATGTGGGCGGCAGAGTTCTGATTGTGCTGATCTTTTGAATGGTGGAGCTGGGGAGACCGGCGAGGAGTGCGTTGGAGTAATCCAGGCGGGAGGTGACAAACGCGCGAGGATTTCGGCTGCATTTGTGGTAAGGTACAGCTGGAGGAGGGCAACATGGCGGAGGTGGAAGAAGGCGGTCCTGGTCAGGGACCAGATGTGGGGGAGGAAGGACAGCCGGGGGTCGAACCAGATGCCTAGATTACGCACTGGTTCGGTGAGTGTGAGGGGGAGCCCAGAGAGGTTGAGGATTTTAGATCCACAGGAGTGAAGACGCTGACAGGAGCCAAGGAGTATGGCTTCCGTCTTGTCCATATTCAGCTGCAGGAAGTTTACATTCATCCAGGCCTTGATGTCTTCCAGACAAGCTGATAGGATATCGGCGGAGTTGGAGTCAATACTGGAGGAGGCAAAGTAGATTTGTGTGTCATCCGCAAATGTAGAAGTTTACCCCGTGTCTACGGATGACATTGCCCAGAGGGAGCATATAGATGAGGAAAAGAAGAGCCCAAGGATTGAGCCCTGGGGTACCCCACAGGTGACTGGATGGGGGTGGGAGGAGAAAACATTTGCCGAGATGAAGTGGAGGCGTTTGGTTAGGTTGGCCTCGAACCATGTGAGTGCAGTCCCATTAAGGTGGATGAGGGAGGAGAGTTGATGGAGGAGGATGGCTTGGTCGACTGTGTCAACACACAGCAGAGCGATCTAGGAGGGAGCCCTGGTCACAGATAGAAAGAGTGTCGTTTGTGACTTTGACAAGTGCTGTCTCTGTGAAAACCAGACTGCAGGGGCTCGAGGAGGGAGAGAAGAGAGAGGTGTGACTGAAGTTGACCTGCAATGATGCGTTCCAGGAGTTTGGCAAGGAAGGGGAGGTTGGAGATGGGACAGTAGTGTGAGAGATTAGAGGAATCGAGGGTGGGTTTTTGAGGAGGACTGTGATAGCAGCGGTTTTCAGGGGGAGAGGGAACAGCGCCTGAGGAGAGAGACTGGTTGACCGTGTCCGTGATAGACAGACTGGAAATGTCAAGGCCACGTGTGATGACGAGGTCGAGTGGGTGGCCACGGTTGTGGGTCAGTGGGTCGAAGTGGAGGGTGAGGTTCAGGGAGGGCAGTGAAATCCGAGGAGGTGGTGCATAGGGAGTTTAGGTGGAGGTTGAAACCATCCATTATGAGCAGGTGTTCAGTGCAGAGGGATAGGGATGAGAGGAGAGGAGATATCGGTGAGGAAAGAGACAGCGGTTTGGGGAAAGGGGCTATAAACTAGGAGGATTTTGAGGGAGAGAGAGGATGGATGGTAGAGGGTGAAGTGCTCAAAGGAGGAGAAGCAGCCAGAGGAAAAGGGGGATAGACCAAGGTAAGCTTGGGAGATGAGGGCCACCCCACCGCCACGTTGGTTGGGGTGGGAGGTGTGGTGAAAAGTGTAGCCAGGAGGGGAGGCTTCAACAAGGGGACGGGGTCACCAGGAGAGAGACAGGTTTCTGTTAGCCCAAGAATATCAATGTGCTTATCTAAGATGAGATACTGGATAGTAAGGGCTTTGTTGGAGAGGGAGCAGACACTTTGGAGGGAAATGCGGATAGGTTTGCTGGTGGAGAGGATGGAGGAGGGAACAACAACAACAACAAAATTACATATAAAAAGCGTCTTTCATGTCGGGAGGATGTCCCAAGGTGCTGGACAGACAGAGTTATGGACCTGGGGGAGGGTGGAGGATAGGAGGGAAGCAGGAAGATCAAAAGCACGGTCGAAGAGGAAGGTCTTGAGTGGGTCTTGAAGGAGGCAAGGGAGGGGGTGAGATGGAGGGACTGCAGTATGGAGTTCCAGAGGGTGGGTGCAGTGGCGGAAGGCCCGCCCGCCAATGGTGGGGCGAGCAAGGTGGGGGACATGAAGCAGGCTGGAGCCCGCTGAACGGAGGGAGCGAACAGGGTGGTAGGGGGATAGGAGGTCGGAGAGCGAGGGGGGCGCAATACCATGGAGGGCTTTGAAGGTGAGGATTAGTACTTTGAACTGTGTCCTCTATGTGATGGGAAGCCAGTGGAGTTGGGCGAGAATGGGGCTGATAGGGTCACGGAGCCTGGTGTGGGAGAGGACACGGGCTGCAGAGTTCTGGATGATCTACACTATGGAGGGAGGAGTTGGGGAGGCCGACAAGCAGTGAGTGCATAGTCAAGCCTCGATATTATGAAGGTGTGTATGAGGGTGTCGGTGGCCTGCGGTGTGAGACAGTGGTGGAGTCGGGAGATGTTGCGGAGGTGGGGAAGGCAGAGCGGGTCATGGCGCGAATGTGGGGTAGAAAGGATAGTTGAGACTCAAACCCCAAGGTTGCGGACTGGCTCAGTGAGGGGGAGTGAGCCCCATGGATGGTGATGCTGTCAGCGCCTGAGGTGAGGAGGCGCTGACGGGAGCCAATCAGGAGCCTCAGTCTTGTTAACGTTCAATTGAAGAAAGTTATCTCTCATCCAGAACTTGATGTCTGACAGACATTCTGTCAGGACAGCAGTGGGTCCTGGAGTCAAGGGGGGAGGCAGAGAGATAGAGTTGGGTGTCATCTGCATACATGTGGAAGTTGACCCCATGTCTGTGAATGATGTCACCAAGAGAATGGTATTGAGGATGGTATTGAATGGTATTGAATGAGTTTGAGGAGCAGGGAGAGTTGGAAAGGATATGGATGAGGGAGGGGAAAGGGTTGTTTGCCTTTCGGAGGTGGTTGGTGCGGAGAGAGTGAGCAATGGGGCAGTTGGGGTGACAGCTCTGGGACAACCAATGCCAGGAGCCACGATGGGCCTGGTGGAGGAGGCGCAACATGAAGATGGGGAAGGAGGGATCAAGGCGGAGGAATTGAGGGTGTTCCAGAGTTTCAGGGCGTAGTGGCTTAAAGCGTGGTCGCCGATGGTGGAGTGAAGGACAAGTAGGAGGCTGCAGCCGGTTGATCGGAGGCAGCAGGTAATGGATTGGAGAGTAAGTGAATTGGCGAGAGGTGACAGGGCATGAAAGGATTTGAAGATGAATGTGAGGACCTTGAAATCTACCCATCGGTAACAGGGAGCCTGGCTAGAAGTTGTGACATGGGGGTTTGGCATTTAGTGCGGTTTTGGCTGCCTTTGGGATAAGGTATGTTTGGAGGTGGGCAATGTGGCAGAGTTGGAGGAAGGCAGTGCTGGTCAGGGACCTGATGTGGGGAAGAGAGGACAGCTGTGGATCGAACCTGATACCTAGTTTGCGCACTAGTTCAGTGAGTCTGAGGGATAGGCCATGGAGGTTAGGGAGGTTAGAGGAGCAGGATAGAAGACAGTGACAGGAGCCAAAGAGTATGGCTTCCATCTTGTCAACAATCAGCTGCAGGAAGTTTGCGCTCATCCAGGCCCTGCCAGACAAACTGACACAACATCAATGGACCTGAAGTTGCAGATGGAGAAGTGGATTTCGGTATCATCCACACACATGTGAAAGTTGAGCCCACATATGTGTGGATGATAACATCTCCGAGATGAGAAAGAGGAGAGGGCCCTGGGATATGCCACAGGGCGGGAGCGGGAGGAGATATAGTTTACAGAGGCGAAGTGGAGGCGGTTTGTTAAGTAGGACTCGAACCAGACACGTGCAGCCAAATCGAGCAGTTTGGATGGATTTGAGCAGGACAGAGAGGTCAGGAGGTGCTGGAGCACAAAGGGGTTTGTCAGTGAGGGAGAGGACCTGAGGCCCTTTTGGAGATGAGGAGCCAGTGGAGCCTGGCGAGGAAACGGGTGACCAGGGTGCGTTGTTTGTGGGGGGAGGATACGGGCGGTAGAGTTTGTGTTGCTCACTGTGTTAAGAGGAGCCAATCTCCTGAACCAAGAAGAAGAAGAATGGTTCACCTCCTGCTGTGGGCTTACCTGGCAGCGCAGGTATGGCTGGTCTTTAATGTCCACTGTGGTGTTGCCTGAGAAGGCGACGTGGATGTGAACGGGACGATCCGCGGGGCTCAGAGTGCCTTTCTGAGGCTGCACAGTGAACAGCGACTGCAGTTTGGGCAGATGGCGCTTTCCAGGTAACAGAATGAACCTGACAGGAAGGACAATCCCTGTGAACTGGGCATCAGGCAGGCAGATACCCCCACACCCAACCCCCCCACACACCCCCACACCACCAGCCCCCACACCCCCCCACACCCCACACCCCCCCACACCCCCAGCCCCCACACTCCAGCCCCCCAACACCCCCACACCCCCAAACCCCACACTCCAGCCCCCACACTCCAGCCCCCACACCCCCACACCCCAACCCCCCACTCCAGCCCCCCCAACACCCCCACACCCCAACACCCCACACCCCAGCCCCCCACCCCCAGCCCCCACACTCCAGCCCCACACTCCAGCCCCCAACAACCCCACACCCCAACCCCCCCACACCCCCACACCCCCAGCCCCCACACTCCAGCCCCCAACACCCCACACCCCAACCCCCACACTCCAGCCCCACACTCCAGCCCCCAGCCCCCAACAACCCCACACCCCAACCCCCCACACCCCCAGCCCCCCACCACCCCCACACTCCACCCCCAACCCCCCACACCCCCAACCCTCCACACCCCAGCCCCCCCACACCCCAGCCCCCAACCCCCACACCCCAGCCCCCAACACCCAGCCCCCCCAACACCCCCCAACCCCAGCCCCCCCACACCCAGCCCCCCCAACACCCCAACCCCAGCCCCCCCAACCCCAAACCCAGCCCCCCAACACCCCAGCCCCCCCAACACCCCACACCCCCGGCCTCCCAACACCCCCACACCCCAGCCCCCAACACCCCCACACCCCAGCCCCCCCCAACACCCCCAACCCCAGCCCCCCCAACACCCCAACCCCAGCCCCCCAACACCCCCACACCCAGCCCCAACGCCCCAAACAAAACCCCACACACCCCAGCCACCCCCCACCACCCCCACACCCCAACCCCCCAAAACAAACCTCCCTACACCCCAGCCCCAACACACCCACACCCCCCAAACCCAACACCCCTGAACCCAGCCCCCCAACACCCCACACCCCAGCCCCAACCCCCCCAAACAAAACCCCACACACCCCAGCCCCAACTCCCTAAACCCCAACCCTAGCACCAGCGCCAACCCAGCCCCAACCTCAACCCCACCCTGAACCCCACCTCACACATACACACAATTTGACCAGCCCCAACTCTCCGAAACCCCAGCCCCAACACCCCGAAACCCCAGCCACAACCCCAGCCCCACTCTAACCCCAGCCCCCACCCAAACTCCAGCCCCAGCCCCAAACCCCAACCCCAGCCCCACCCCACCCTAACCCCAGCCCCAACCCCCCAAACCCCAGCCCGAACCCTTAACCCCAGCCCCAACCCCCACCCTTAACCCCAGCCCCAACCCTAGGCCCAAACCCCAGCCCCATCCCCCACCCTAACCCCAGCCCCAAACCGCAGTCCCAAACCCAACACCCCCAAACCGCAGCCCCAACCCCCCCAAACCCAAACCCCCAAACCCCAACCCAGCCCCCCCAACCCCCAAACCGCAGCCCCAACCCCCCCAAACCCCCAAACTCCAAACACCTCCAAACCCCCCAAACCCCAGCCCCAAACCCCAACCCAACCCCCCAAACCCCCAGCCCCAGCCCCCCAAACTGCAGCCCCAACCCTCCCCCCCCCAAACACCCAACCCCCCAAACCCCCAGTCCCAACCCCAGCCCCCCAAACCCCAAACCGCAGCCCCAACCCCCCCCCAAACCCCCAAACCCCAGCCCCAACCCCACCCTTAACCCCAGACCCAACCCTAGCCCCAACCCCCCAAACCCAGCCCAGCCCCCACCCTAACACCAGCCCCAAACCCAGCCCCAACCCCCCAACCCCAACCTCCAACCTAACCCCATCCCAACCCCCCCAAACCCTAACCCCAGCCCCAACCACAACACTAACCCCCATCCTAACCCCAGGCCCCAAACCCAAACCCATCCCCAGCCCCCAACCTAACCCCATCCCCAAACCCAAACCCAGCCCCAACCCCCCCAAACCCCAACCTAGCACCAGCGCCAACCCAGCCCAACCCAACCCCACCCCGAACCGAACCTCACACATACACACAATTAGACCAGCCCCAACACCCCCAAACCCCAGCCCCAACCACCCCAACTCCCCCAAACCCCAGCCCCAACCCTCCCAAACCCCAGCCCCAACCACCCCAACTCCCCCAAACCCCAGCCCCAAACCCCAGCCCCCAACCCCAGCCCCAAACCCCCAAACTCCAGCCCCACTCCCAGCACCAAACCTCTAGCCTCAACCCCAACCTAACCCCATCCCCAACCCCAACCCCCCCAAACCTCAGCCCAACCCCTCCAAACCCCAGCCCCAAACCCACCCTAACCCCAACCCTAACCCCAGCCCCCCAAACCTCAAACCCATCCCCAACCCCAACCCAAACCCCCAACCACCCCAGCCCACCCCAGCCCCAATCTCAACCCCACCCCAAACCCCACCTCACACATACACACAATTAGACCACCCAGCCCCAACACCCCCAAACCCCAGCCCCAAGCCCCCCAAACCCAAGCCCCAACCCGCAAACCCCAGCTCCAACACCCCGAAACCCCAGCCCCAACCCCCCCAAACCCCAATAGGGGAGAGGAGGGGAGGGGAGAGGTGGGGATGAGAGAGGAGTGGGGAGGAGAGGAGAGCGGGGGGAGAGGGGGGAGGGGAGG